GAGCTTCACTGAGTGAGCAGCAGACAGTAAGTTTCACTTTTACTTTCACTTTGCTCTGTTACTGCCGAGAGCCTGCAGGAGTCATGGGCGGGGTGTGTGGGGTGGGAGGTGGGGAGGTGTGCTCCGTGATGAGGAAGCTCGGCTTAAGGACACGTCCCAGAAGTGTTTCTGGTCCCCAGCTGTCGTTTTGCTCCTCAGCATGGCTTCCTAAAAACACTGCAGGATTTCTCAAACATGCATGAATGAGTCAAAGCAAGGCTTTTGGGCATGTTTTTTATGACAGTATAACATTATAACATGACATAAAACTCAAAAAAGTTGATTTTACATGATATTGCACCTTTTAAAAAGCGGCAGTTAAATTGTTAGTAAAACCAAAACAGTASTTAAAAGGCAAAAAGAACTAAAACTTTATACAAGCAAAGATCAACAAACATACTGTAGCTAAAACTAGCAAAGCACTTGCTAATAGCTAAAACTAGCTTAAAAACTAGCTAAAAACTAAAAAAGCAAGCACTTGCTGATAACTAAAACTAGTAAAACACTAGCTAAAAGCTCAAAAATTATCTTGCTGATTTTCATCAAAATAAGATTAAAAAAATTCACAACTTCAGCATCTTATTTTATTTATAGCATGAGTTGTTTTTTATGGTCACATCCTTGCAGCAAAATGACAATACTTCCAAACCCTCAGAGCTAAAAAGGAAAACACACATCAGACTTGACACGGAGCACTTGAACTCTTTTGACTTGTCTTTCCGTTCACTTCTAAGCCATTGAGGGAGGATAACCTGTCCAGGTGCAGGTGAGGTTTTGTTGCTGGGTTTTCCCGCCAGGTGGACAGCTGTACGTCGGTGCTGCAGAGGGTATGTTTTAAACCGGCCTTTATGCTCTAGGACTCAGGAAAGTAGTGTGGGTCTTTTGATGTGACTTCTCCACTCAAAGGGGAAACCATCAAGCCTTGGCAGCCGTCACCTCAACCCCATTGTAGCTGCGAGTAAAAAAAAACTSAAACTGTTTTCTTTGGATGTGTTGGTGCATGAGTGGGAGCTCYGACAGAAATGGATGTCGCTGCAGGCTGCTTCTGGGTCATTAGATTAATTACCCTTTAACACGCCCTTTGATAACTTATTGAATTAAAAATCCTGGGCGTGAGTGCTTAAACGCAGSCTTTATCGCTTTATCCGAAGCTGACTCTGAAGGACAGGTGTCTTCAGGCAGCTAAGCCGGCACCACATGTTGAATCGGACCAGAGCTTCGGTTGTTGCCGTGCTGGGGCACTGCAGGCTGGAAGCTGTAATCCCATGGTGTTTAACTGGGATCCAGCTGGATTTAGTCTGCTGAAGCTGAACGGTGCTGCAGGTGTCGGCTGATAAGACCTGGGATTCACACACGTCTACAAATGGAAGGGAGTTGGCAGGGATTAATAAAGAATGAGGATGTCATAAAAAACGTCTAAATGCCTTCCGTCACATTTATAAAAACACATTCAGCTTTGATTTGCCTGCCTTTCATAGCTGCGAACGATGACGTAACTCCTTCTATCTTTGTGTGTGTTTGTTGGTCAGTCAGCAACAACATCTCATGAAACTGTTGACAGATTTTATTGAAGCTCTCTATGTTGTATGCAGAACTGTAAAGGAGTCCCATCGAGAAGAACACGAGAAAGAAACAAGCGGCCGATAAAAAGTGAAATCTGAGGAAACTGRAGGAACAAAGACGAAGTGGAGGACAAAAACTGCAGGGTATGTTTCCCACCCCTTTGAGAAAGTGCGATGCAGACAGTAATCCTGTGTTGTGACACYGGCAGAGTCCACCTCTGCCTCCTTCCCACAGGTTGGGGGGGATGAGTCAGACAAACGGAGGGAAACAAAGCAGCAGGCAGGAACCTGCGGGGATGACACGCTCATCGGGTGGAAACCAGACCCTGCAACCGGAGCTTCTGCAGCCTGCTGACTGACAACAGGCACTCAGCTACTGTGTGTGTGTGTGTGTGTGTGTGTGTGTGTGTGTGTGTGTGTGTGTGTGTGTGTGTGNGTGTGTGTGTGTGTGTGTGTGTGTGTGTGTGTGTGTGTGTGTGTGTGTGTGTGGAGAGTGAGATCTCTGTGCATTTTTCTCTTCATTTTATCAGCCTCCAGGAATGGAAGTGTTATTTTACATTTCTGGAAACCAAATAAGTGCAACTTTTATGTTCATTTATTGGAATATTTTGAGACATGAGTCTCTGCACGCCTTATTTCCAGCATCTGGGTCTGCAATGAATGCCAAGATATGTTTWTATTCCCCTTAATCAAAAAGACATTTTGATTAAAAGCTTTGAAAGCGTTACAAGGAAGTTTTGTTATAAATATGAAGGAATTAATGGTGGTTTAAAAGTTTTGCACAGTACTCTATGTAGCTGATTACACTGAACACTGCAGTTTTATTTAAATGAATCACCCACACTGCAACACTTGAAAATAAAATGTTTATCTTTAAAMCTCACACTGGATCTGTCACTGAAAACTGAAGAGTTATTCAAGTCTGAGAGAATTATGAGATCCCTTAACGGTGCTGTAAAATCCCATTTCAGGYTGCATGGGTGTCCAGAATCCAAAGCTTATGGCTCACGCTCAGATCTGTCCAGTCAYACGTCACAATGATATCTTCCTAAAGTGTCACCAGGCACCGCAGCTGTTAGGGTCAGGGGTGAGTCTCTGCCTCAAGTGAAGAAGTTCAAATATCTGGGAGTTTTATTCAAGAGACAAATGGACCGGCAAACCAGGACCTCGTCTATAGTTTTTTAAACATGTTCYACTGGAAGTCCCAGAGGAAAACTTTGTGTACTCCAGACATTTTATCATATCTGTCCAATGAAAACTTAGGGATCTGCAGAGAGCAGTGAAGAGGGACATCTGGACCTGTTCGCTCCATAAACTGACCATGAATGAGCAGAAGACTGATGGACCTTCTATATTTAACTGGTTAACTGAGAGATTTAATGGCTTTTATATCTGATTTAATCTAATGTAAAGTGAAAAATTACACTTTAGGAGTCTCTAGTTTGTCACCAGAAAGTCAAGAAGTCTAAAAATGTGAAAGTGAAATTTAGTTTAGTGATTGATGCTTTTTGAACAAAGTTTATGAAAGAACCTTCTTTAAGATTATTTGCAAGAGAAGTGCTCGTTGTCACATCAGTGTCAGTTTGCTGACCTTATTTTTAAAAAATTGTAAACACACAAAAGTCCCAGATATTTATAAAACTCCTCATCAGAACGCTGCTGTCCAAATGTGGGGCTCCTGAGATGTGCTGCCAGCGAAAGGTGGAACACCAAACAATCGGCTTCGTGTTTGGGAACAAACCGCCGCGCAAACTCTCCCGGGTTTTCTGCGTCCGGAGACGGGCTGAAATGTTTCACGAACCTCCATAAATAACCAGAAGGAGCTATGAAACAGCAGGGTTTAAAGAACGGGGCTTCCCGATGTGGTCTGCTGAAATGAACACACACACACACACCTACACACACACACATCTTCTCTGTGGTGCCTTAAGGTCAAGTTTGAATTTTGTAAAACATGAAGACTGATGTTCACATGAGTTAAGGACGTGTGTGTGTGTGTGTGTGTGTGTGTGTGTGTGTGTGTGTGTGTGTGTGCAGCAGAGACACCACACACTCTCCTCTGTCTGTCCCCCCGTCTCCTCCTCTCAGCCAGTGAGTCTGGGACCCGAAGGAAAAGGCCAATTATAAAAAAAAAAACCTTCTCTCCATCTTTGTTCTGTGGGCATAAACCACTTCTTTGCTTTTTTGTTTTCATTCTCTCTCCTTCTTTGGCTTTCTGACATTCCTCGTCCATTCCCACCGTCCCCAAAAATCCCCCCCACTCCACCCTGTTACTCACGCACACATGCAAAATCACTCTTTTAGCTCACACCAACTTTTTTGTTTTGTTTTGTTTGTTTTTTTGGAACTTTGCGAGAGTCAGTTCCCAAAGTCTTTAAATAGCTCCGCGTGTTTCCTGGTCCTTCATCAGCACCATATCTTATCATATTGGAGAGAAAATCTGGGTGGTGCTGCTTGTTCTTATGACAACAGCATTATCCCAGGGTTAGGGTTGTGTTGTTTTGGTTTAAAAACACTTACTACATATTTTTCAGCGGCCCCTCTCGTAAAGATCAAAGGGGGGTTAGAGCGAAGGCAGATTTCTGTTGTCCTGTTTTGTTTTTAGTGACGCATCAAGTTAAACACTTTAAAGCGATAGTTTGGATCTTCAGGCAAAAAATACTGARGCTGCAACCAGAAGTGCTACAGTTAGCTGCTGCCGCTATTAACTTGCTAACAACCCAACTTTGATTTGTTTGTTTTTTTGCATTTTTTGAATGTGTTGACTTTATATAGATAATGATTTTAAGTAAAGACAAGAGAAAGAAATTTTAATATATACACAAAAAATTAAAAAGTGCACAAGTACAGCAACACTTTTTGTAAATAATGATCAAATAAATAAAACATTTTGAAGCACAAAACATTCAAACGACACATCTGCCTCTGTCACGCTTAAGACAGACAGAAACACAGACTAGAAAGTAAGCCTCAAATAATCAAATCCTGACTGAAAAGTCGTAGCTTTACGG